TTCCCAGGAACCCAACCCCTTACTGGTTCCAGTACCAAATTCTATGTTCTTCCTCCCCACGAAGTTTTCTCTCCGGAGTCAGATGCATTTCCCTAGAGAAATTTATTTTAACCAGGATCTTCTTTTACAAATGTCCTATTTGCACAGACTCAAGCCCAAAGACCAGAAGAACCTCTGTCCTGGAAGTCGGTTCTGTTTCCAATGGAGCAGCCTCTGCAAAGTGTACCACACGATGAGTTAACATATCTCACTTTTAAAAAGAAAAATACTGATACGCCACTGACATGGTTTGGATGTGCGTTCCCCCATCCTCACCCACAGTCCCATGCTGGGAGTGTCACTCATATTTAGCTCTGAATCAATGGGGAACCCATGCAGGAAGATCATAATAAACACGGAAAATTCTGATAATTTTGTGATTCCATGAGATAAGAAAAGAACTTCCCTCTCCCGGAAATCTCACTTTGAGGGGAGCCAGCTGACATGTCTTAGGCCTCCCTGCACCCCTGAGAGAGGCCCACATGGAGAGGAGCCCACAGCCAAGGAGGCCTCTTGGAAGTGGACCCTCCAGCCCCACTTGAGCTTTCAGATGATCACAGCCCAAGCTGACCTCTTTTTTTTTTTTTTTTTTTTTGAGACAGTCTCACTCTGTCACCCAGGCTGGAGTGCAGTGGCATGGTCTCGGCTCACTGCAGCCTCCACCTCCTGGGTTCAAGAGATTCTCCTCCCTCGGCCTCCCAAGTAGCTGGGATTACAGGCACACTCCACCACCTCTGGATGATTTTTGTATTTTTAGTAGAAACAGGATTTCATCATGTTGCGTGGGCTGGTCTTGAACTCCTGACCTCAGATGATCTGCCTACCTCAGCCTCCCAAAGTGCTGGGATTACAGGCATGAGCCACCGCACCTGGCCTCACAAGTCCTTTCTGAAACCACAGATGGGCACTTCGCCTGCTGTGTGTTATTCTGGGACTTCACCAGCCTCCCTCCTCCTGTCACCGCCATCAGTCTGTGGGATGCACGTGGAGCCTCTTCACAGGACAGCAAGCATTTGAACATAGCAGGAGGATGACCTGGGGCCAGGGTTTGTTTTGTTTTGTTTCATTTTGTCTTTTCGAGACAGGGCCTCACTCCGTCACCCAGGTGGGAGTGCAGTGGTGCGATCACGGCTCACTGCAGCCTCTGCCTCCTGGGCCCAGATGATCCTCCCACCTCATCCTTTTGAGTAGCTGGGACCACAGGCATGTGCCACCACATGGGGCCAGTTTTCGGCCTCCATTCTGAATGGTTGTGATTTCTGTTGAATTCTTTTTCCAAGAGGTGATTGGGTGAGCTAAGATTGACATTATCAAGTATTTTTAAAACAAGGCTGTGAAGGAAGCAGTGGGCGGCGAGGGCGATGGAGTGGAGGGAAGGTGCAGGAGGGCCCAGGTCGGGAGGGCCAGGGAGCGCAGCGGCATTTCCGGGGTAATTATGTCTACTTTGCAGCTTTCTTGGTGGTGTCCACAAAAGCCCCACAACATCAGAGCCGCTGCTTTATCCCCAGCACCTGATACAGGCACTATCGAAGCTCGCTGCAGTCTCCACCCTACAAGACTGCAGAAAATACGGAAGAACATGAATAGCATGATTCAAAAAGAAAAAGAGGGCTTACTGGTGCATAACAAAGGGAATTAGGAAGAAATGAACCAGAGACACATTGAATTTTGAGGTCACACTTGTCTATTTCTTTAGAATTCTCAATAAAGTACTGAACATTGGCTGCACGAATTATTTACACACTTGTCACCATGTAGCCGAGGACTAAAACTTCAACATTCACCTGCTACCAGCCTCCAAACGGTGGCGACGTTTGTATCAACAGTTACCTAAATTGTAGGTGGGGAAGTCTAAATATTCCTATTAAAGACAATTAAAGACAATCGTATTCAAGGCCTGGATAGTGACCTGTTTCCTGGGAAGGTAGTCAGTTGGTTTTCACCACAAGGAGAACCTGGACATCTTCACGCAACATCATCAGCCTGGTGTATGGCTCTTAGAAGAGGCTGGAGGGGGGATCTTGGAGCTGGCAGATTTGGGTTTGCATCTCAACCCCCAGCTCGCCCCTGCCCTGGCACCAAGCCTCTGCTTCCCCATCTACGTGGGGACGGACCTTGCGTTCAGTGCTGCTATAGGTGTGAAGAAACAGCATAGCCTATGTGCCTGCCACTCAGCCAGCGTTGGGGAAACAGCACTCCTTTCCTGCCAGCGCCAGTGCCAGGGCAAACTCCGGCTGTGGGCATCTGCTCTCAGCCCCACGTGTGTCTGGGCGTTGCCCCCGCCCTGCCCTGGTGTCTGCCCGTGACTCACTTTTCTTGCTGCCTTCAGCTTTGAGTTCCGGTTTCCCATCTTGAAGTCCTGGCCCTAAGTTCCAGTTTCTGTTTCTGGTGTTCTTTGATTTCTAATTAAATCCAGTCCCTAAATGGTTGGTTCAAATCGGTGTCTAAAGGTTGATTCTCTGACACTGTGAATCTCAGGGGTGCATTACAGTCTAAGTCGCACTTACAATTAGTGGCCAGTAAATTGCTGATAGCCTTTAACAAGTGTTAGCAATTTGGAATTCAAGAAGTGTTTGTCGATACTTGTGTTTATGGATTTTAAAATGTTTCCAATTTTTTACATGTTACAAAAAATATAAGCATAGATTGTAACCATGTTTATAATTCATATTTTATAAATGTATTTTTAAAATAATTTGAAGAAATTTTTAAGGCTGGGCATAGTGGCTCACCCCTGTAATCTCAACTCTTTGGGAGGTCAAGGCAGGTGGATCACTTGAGGTCAGGAGTTCGAGACCAGCCTGGCCAACATGATGAAACCTCGTCTCTACTAAAAATACAAAAATTAGCTGGGCGTTATGGCAGGCACCTGTAATCCCAGCTATTCGGGAGGCTGAGGCATGAGAATCGCTTGAACCCGGGAGGCAGAGGTTGCAGTGAGCCAAGATCACACCACTGCCCTGCAGCCTGGGTGACAGTGAGACTCTGTCTCAAGAAAAAAAGACATGGTCCGGGCATGGTGGCTCACACCTGTAATCCCAGCACTTTGGGAGCCCGAGGCAGGCGGATCACAAGGTCAGGAGATCGAGACCATCCTGGCTAACACGGTGAAACCCCGTCTCTACTAAAAATACAAAAAAATTAGCCGGGCATGGTGGTGGGTGCCTGTAGTCCCAGCTACTCAGGAGGCTGAGGAAGGAGAATGGCGTGAACCCTCCTGGGTTCAAGCAATTTCTTGTGCCTTAGCCTCCCGAGTAGCGGGGATTACAGGCGCTTGCAGTGAGCCCAGATCGTGCCACTGCACTCCAGCGTGGGCAACAGAGTGAGACTCCATCTCAGGAAGAAAAAAAAAAAAAAGACATTTTAGCCTTACTATCTGTTACAAACTGAATGTCTGTGTCCCTCCACAAATTCATGTGTTGATGCCTTCACACCCACCGTGCCTCTCTTTCGAATAAGGAAGTATTTATAGTTAGTTAAGGTCCTGAGGGTGGGGCCCTGACCCAATGGGATTGTGTCCTTATAAGAAGAGACATCAGAGCCCTCTGTCATCGGAAGACACTGTGAGAAGCTGCCGTCCGCATGCCAGGGAGAGGCGCTCAGCAGAAACAGCCTTGACGGCCCCCTGGTCTCGGACTCCCAGCCTCCAGAGCTGCGAGAACATAAGCCCAGCCTGTGGTATTTTGTGACGGCGGGCGGAGTAGACTCATACCCTATGCAGCGGTGTGTCTGTGAACCTTCTTAACATCTTGAATTGAAGTTAACTTACAGCCAGGAAAAACTCAATTACAACAGGATGAATCCCGGATAAAAGGTCTCTCTAGGGATATTACTTGCTGCCACTTTTTCACATTTATCGTTTTTTGGTTGATACCACATCACAGAATACTGAAAATCCACTAGTAAACATAAAAATGGCCTTTTAAACATTTTGCAGTCTGTCCAAAAATTTTTGGGGAGGCCTTTACACCCCTTTCCCTTCAGGAAACTTTCTAGGAGCTGCACATTCTACACCAATTAACATCAGCTGGCTCTAAAGCGAAACTACAAAGATTCTTAAATTGTCTGATTGGGATAATCGTGATTTTTAAAGTGACATTTGTCCAAAAGGATGTAGAAAGGTAAGCAACTTACTTTCCTGATTCACTTTTAGGTTGATTAGAGTGGCAGTTTCTGTTTCTCCAGTTATGAAAGAATCTCATAGGGTTAGGGAACAGGCCTTTCCTTTAAACTTTGTCTTCTAATTCAGTGTGGTAACATGACTGGGGTTGGGGGACCCCTCTCTCTCTCTAACTTTTGGCAAGTTATTTAACTTCCTTGGGGCTTGTTTCTTCCATTTGTTGAATGAAATACTGATCTAGAAACTATCGTGACTGAACAGAGCAGTTATATTAGTTTTTTTTTATCTTAAAAGTTCATCTCCCTCCTCCTCCTTGCCACCCTCCGTCTTCTTTGTGGAAAACAGTTAGTGATGAGAACTTAAGTCAAAGGTACCTGGCCATGAGAACTTCTATACTTTTGACTATGAAACATTTTTTTTTTCTTTTGAAATAGAGTCTTGCTCTGTTGCCCAGGCTGGAATGCAGTGGCACAATTTTGGCTCACTGCAACCTCTGCCTCCTGGGTTCAAGCAATTTCTCGTGCCTTAGCCTCCTGAGTAGCGGGGATTACAGGCACATGCCACCACATCTGGCTAATTTTTGTATTTTTAGTAGAGACAAGGTTTCACCATGTTGGTCAGGCTGGTCTCGAGCTCCTGACCTCAGGCGATCCACCCACCTCGGCCTCCCAAAGTGCTGGGATTACAGGCATGAGCCACTGTGCCCGGCCGGAAGCACTTGTATCTGCCACTCTCCAGAAGTAAACCTATTTCAGACTGACAAGGAAGAAAGGCAGCGTTTCGTCATCTGTGTGTATTGCCGGTTCTTCCAACAAACAAAGTTCTGTTCTGCTTCTTTCAGGCATGGAAGATAGAAGGCACAGTTCCATTCAGCAAGGCAAACAGCAAACATGCTGCGGCTCTTGGCAGCAGGATGGCCATTGAACGACCCACATATTCTGAGGCCATCGCAACGCCATCCCAGGCAGTCAGGACACACCACGCAGTACCGGGAAGGACGAAAGAAGTGACAGCCTGCTACGACAGAACGAAACGTTCTCTGGCCCTGGAAGGAGGCGGCTGCGGAGTCTCCGATTTTCTCGATTGACTGAGGAATACCGGTTTCTTCTTTAAATGTAAAAACTCCCAAATCATGAAGTTAATGAAATGCTTTTTAAATTAACAAATCAAACAAAAGTGGTTGAAAACTTGCCACGCTGGAACTCCTGGCAGTGTGATAGTGGACCCCGGACCTGAGGAGGGCAGCATAGGGGACCCCTGAGAGTGAAGTCCTCGGGCCCGAAGTCGCTCCCACCGCCGGCCGCCCGCCGCAGCCCACCTCCAAGCTTCCTGCGCTGCTCCCTGCTGGTGGGACCCATGGTGTGCATTCATTCAGCTCACACATGGTCAAAGACGCAGCTCCAAATACCAAGCGACGCTGCTTGGTTTTTAAAATTAAACTGTTAATTTTGAGATAATCGTAGCTTCACATGCATTTGTAAGGAATAATACAGAGAGGTCTTGTTCACCCTTTACCCAGTTTTCCCCAATGGTTGCGTCTTGTTATTTTTATTTTTTATTTTTTTTGAGAGTCTCGCTCTGTCACCCAGGCAGGAGTACAGTGACATGATCTCAGCTCCCTGCAACCTCCACCTCCCGGGTTCAAGAGATTCTCGTGCCTCGGCCTCCCAAGTAGCTGGGATTACAGGTGCCCACCACCACGACTGGCTAATTTTTGACATTTTTAGTAGAGACGGGGTTTCACCATGTTGGTCAGACTGGTCTCGAACTCCTGACCTCAGGTGATCTAGCTACCCCGGCTTCCCAAAGTGCCGGGATTACAGGCGTGAGCCACTGCACCTGGCCTCAGTGGTCGCATCTTGCACAATTAGGGGACAATATCAGGATGCTGACTCGTGGCCCAGGCACAGCCGTCCACCCCCACAGGACCTTCTGCTCCCTCTCAAGCCACCGAACTTTCCTCCCATCCCTGCCTCCTTCTCGGCCCCCGTAGGGTCTCCATTGCTGTACTTGGATCATTTCAAGAATGTTGTATAAATGGAATCTCATGATGTACAACCTTTTGGTCTGGACTCCCTTCACCAGGGCCACTCTCTGAAGGTTTCTTCAGGCCGTGGTGTGTGTGCCCATAGCTTGTTCCTTTTCACTGCAGAGTATATGCCATAGTGTGGGTTTCTACCATCTGCTTAACCTTACCCTTGTTCAAGGTCAACTCGGTACTTTCCAGTTTTTGACCATTATGAACAAAGCTACTACAAACGGTTGTGTACAAGTTTTCACATGAACGTCAGTCTTCGTTTTCTCCGGGATGAACACCCTGACCTGAAGTTGCCGGGTCTGACGGTGATTGGGTGTTTAGTTTGTTAAGAAACTGCCAACCTGTTTTCCAGGCGGCTGTACCATCATACATCCCACCAGCCCGGCGTGAGTAATCTCCAACCTGTTTCCCAGGTGGCTGTGCCATCTTACATCCCACCAGCCCTGCGTGAGTGATCTCCAACCTGTTTCCCGGGCGGCTGTGCCATCTTACATCGCGCCAGCCCCGCGTGAGTGATCTCCAACCTGTTTCCCGGGCGGCTGTGCCATCTTACATCCCGCCAGCCCCGCGTGAGTGATCTCACCAACGTGCGGCCGCATCACCCTGTTATTTTCAGTCACGTGGATAGATGTGCAGTGCTGTGTTGTTGTTGTTTTAATTTGCATTTCCCTAGGAGCCCATTATGTTCGTATCAGTCTCTCGGACATCTCTTCTTGTGCTTATTTGCCGTTCATATCCTCTTTGGTGAAATGTTTTTTTCTGTCTTTTGCTCATTTTTCTAACTGAACTGCACTTTTTTTTTCTTTTTTGGACAGAGGGTTTCACTGTGTTGTGGAGGCTGGAGTGCACTGGTGCGATAATAGCTCTCTGCAGCCTCAGCTGTCCACGTAGCTGGGACTACAGGTGCGTACCACCACGCCCAGCTAATTTTTTTTGTGTGTGTGTAGTTGAGGTTTTGCCATGTGGTCCATGCTGGTCTCGAACTCCTGGTCTCAAGCAATCCACCCTCCTTGGTCTTCCAAAGTGCTGGGATTACAGGCGTGAGCCACTGGGCCTGGCCTTTGCTTTTTTTTTTTTTTTTTTTTAACCATTGAGTTTTGAGAGTTATTTGTGTATTCGAGGCACTGGTCTGTGTTGGATATGTAGTTTGAATCTATTCAGAATATTTTCTCTCAGTTTGTAGCTTGTCTTTTCATCTTCTTAACATAGTCTTTTGCAGAGCAAAAGTTTTTATTTTTTGTGAAGTCCAATTTTTTTGTGAAGTCCAATTTTTCTATTTTTCCTTTTATATATTATGATACTGGTAAGAAATTTTATATATTATGATGCTGGTAAGAAATTTTATATATTGTGATGCTGGTAAGAAGTCATTTCTTAGTCTTCAATCCCAAAGATTTTCTCTGTTTATTTTCTAAAAGGTTTATAGTTTTGCATTTTACATTTAAGTCTGTGATCCATTTTGAAATCAGGTAGATTGAGTCCATCACTTTATTCTTTTTCTTTTTTCTTTTCTTTTTTTTTTGAGGCAGAGTCTCGCTCTGTCATTTAGGCTGGAGTTCAGTGGTGCGATCTTGGCTCACTGCAAGCTCCTCCCGGCTTCACACCATTCTCCTGCCTCAGCCTCCCGAGTAGCTTGGACTATAGGCACCTGCCACCACACCCGGCTAATTTTTTGTATTTTTAGTAGAGACGGGGTTTCACCGTGTTAGCCAGGATGGTCCCAATCTCCTGACCTCGTGATCCACTCGCCTCAGCCTCCCGAAGTGCTGGGATCACAGGTGTGAGCCACCGTGCCTGGCCTGCTTTATTCTTTTTCAAAATTGCTTTAGCTACTCTCATTCCTTTGTCCGTACATATAGATTTCAGAAAAATCTTCTGTATATCTGCAGGATATTTGCTGGCATTTCAATAGGAATTCATTAAATCTATATATCAGTTTGGGAAAAATGATATTTTTGCTATAGTGAGTCTTCCAATCAATTAACACCCTGCGTCTCTCTCTTTATTTAGGCTTTCTTTGATTTCTTTCACTAGTGTTTTGTAGTTTTCAGCATTTAGATCCTGTACATGTCTTAGATTTATACCTAAGTATTTTTTTGAGTAACTGTAAATAATATTGTATTATTCATTTTGGTGACTTTGTATTCATTACTAGTATATAGAAATATTATTGAATTTTGTATGTTTGTCATGTATCCTGTGATCCTGATGAACTCACTTGTTAGTTGTAGGAGGGTTTCTTTTGAGATTCCTTGGGATTTTATCTGTGGACAATCGTGTCATCTGCAAATAGGGACAACTTCTTTCCATCCTTCCTTCCTTCCTGCCTGTCTGCCTTCCTTTTCTCTCATTCTCTCTCTCTCTCTCTTTCTTCTTTTCCTTTTATTTCCCTTTTTGCGTTATTGCGATAGCTAGGACTCCCAGCACCATGTTAAACAGAGTGGTGATAACAGACATCCTTGCCTTGTTCCTCATCTTAGGCTGGGAGCTTTCGGTCTTTCCCATTAAGTATCCTGTTAGCTGCAGGTGTTTTATAGATGTTCTTTATTAAGTTGAGGAAGCTTCCCTTTATTTCTATTTTTTAACAGATTTTCAGGCTGGGTGCGGTGGCTCATGCTGTAATCCCAGTACTTTGGGAGGCTGAGGCAGGTGGATCACCTGAGGTCAGGAGTTTGAGACCAGCCTGGCCAATATGGTGAAACCCTGTCTCTACTAAAATATAAACATTAGCCGGGTGTGGTGGTGGTTGCCTGTAATCCCAGCTACTTGAGAGGCTCAGGCAACTAGAACTGCTTGACTGCTTGAACCCAGGAGGTGGAGGTTGCAAAGAGCCAAGATCACGCCACTGCACTCCAGCCTGGGCAAGAGAGCAAGACTCTGTCTCAAAAAAAAAAAAAAAGAAAGAAAGAAAGAAAGAAAGAAAGAAAGAAAGAAAGTCCAGTCTGCAGAGATGTTGAATTAAAAACAACGTCCGGCCGGGCACGGTGGCTCAAACCTGTAATCCCAGCACTTTGGGAGGCCGAGACGGGCGGATCACGAGATCAGGAGATCGAGACCATCCTGGCTAACACAGTGAAACCCCGTCTCTACTAAAAAATACAAAAAAAACTAGCCGGGCAAGGTGGCGGGCGCCTGTAGTCCCAGCTACTCGGGAGGCTGAGGCAGGAGAATGGCGTAAACCCGGGAGGCAGAGCTTGCAGTGAGCTGAGATCCGGCCACTGCCCTCCAGCCTGGGCGACAGAGCGAGACTCCGTCTCAAAAAAAAAAAAAAAAAAAAAAAAAACAACGTCCACTTTGCCAGAAACTTCAAACAGGAGACCAAGTGGTGCTTTCAGGGACATCCAGGGTGATGTTGCATCCCAGGACGAGAAGAGGCTGCCACTAGGACCCACAGACAGAGCTCCAGGGAGTTTAACATACAACCTTTAAAAGGAAGAAATTGGCCAGGCACGGTAATCCCAGCACTTTGGGAGGCCAAGGTGGATGAATCACGAGGTCAGGAGATCGAGACCATCCTGGCTAACACAGTGAAACCCCGTCTCTACTAAAAATACAAAAAAAAAAAACAAAAAAAAAA